AGGGGAAATAAAGACGATAGATGTTTGAGGAAAGAAGGAACAAAGCACACCAGAGCACCCTTCAACCACCCACAATGCACTTTGTCTTGAGAGGCAAGCACTTTACACCCCTAGATAAGTGGACACCTCCACAGTTGTTTGTACTGCCCTTTTGTTCAAGGGTAAGAGTTGGAGTTTGCTATTCAATAACAATAACAATAATAGGAAATTGTATCAGGTTGTGTTGTTCCCAGTGGTAATGAAGTTAAGTCCTTTGAAAAGACATATATGTGTATCATGTATTTGTTTCTCATGACCACTGTTTTGTGCAGGTCTGATTATTGGACAGGTTTGAATTTAAAACTCTTTTCCTCCAAGTCTTCCGTGCCCCGACCACAGGGTGGGAAAGATCGAGCAAAGTCACAAAACTAGGAGATCCTGTAGTAAGTTTGAATTGAAGACTCCGCAGCTTGTTAACTCAGGCCAACTGGGCAAAACTCTTTTTTTAAATGATTTTTGTATGAGTTTTACAGCACTAGCAACACAATAAGGTCATATAAATGCTGAAGATGAGAGGTGTTACTAGAGAGCAACATACACAAAAAAGAAAGAGGAGGGATAAGGACGATAGTTGTTTCGTATGAAAGTAGGGAGATTGCTGAAAATCCTTCTCACATCTTGTTTGTAGGGGTGTAGAGAGGTACGTTGACACAAATAATGGTCATTTACTGCAAGGGAAATGTAAGACAGATAGACAGAAAGAACAACGGGGGGGAGAAGTAAGGCTTACCAGCGGCATCCTCCAACCACCTGCTTTCTCACATCTTTCGCCAACACTGGCCTAGACCCTAGAGCCCCACCATGACTTCACAGACAATGGTATACGAACTGAGTTTAAGTTTGAGTGCAAGAGTTTTTCGGCACTTGCTGCAGCACAATTAAGTTGTTATGTAAGTAAGTGCTGAAGATTAGAGGTGTTACAAGAGAGTAACAAACACAAAAAAGAAGGAGGAGAGATAACGACAATATATGTTTGATAGGAAAGAAGAAGCAAACCACACCAGAGCACCCACCAACCACCCACGACGTACCTCACCAGCATCAAACAGTAACAGACTTTGGAAAATAATCCCGACAAACCGAATTGCTTTACTTTAAATTTTAAAACACAAAGACAAGCAAACACAAGAGTACGGTAATTAAAAAGACGAGTATTTTAATCAAATACTTCTTGTCTGAGAAAAAAAATTAACTCTGTCAAAAAAAAAGCTCTCTATTTCAGCGAACAGAATAGTGTAAACTTACTGGGCACAGAAAAATCAGGTCATTATACAATGGTAAAATCTAATAATCTAAAAAACAACAACAACAAAAACTGGGAACCAGCATACAAGTTGGAACTTAGAACTAACGACACAAAAGAAAATGATTCTTCCATAAAATCAACACAAGGCACACGTCACGTTTTCTTCTGCAAACAAATGTCTTTTTTTTACTGCTCACAAGAAATGGAATATGAATAAGTGGAATCTATTGTGTCTAAAATCATCGTTACTAATCCCCATTCTCTTCTACAAACCATAGGCCTTCTCATCTTTTCACACACTGGAGCCTGCTGTACGGCTGAATGTAGCAAAACATTCATCATATCAGTTACTACAAATGCATGTATAGATTCTAGGCCTGGCAATAGAAAAGGCTGCAATGATTCTAAAAACATATTACTGTATCTCTACAGCTGACATGCTTGTTTGGGAGGCATTAATGATAAGACTGTCTTCCTTCAACATCCTTCACATTCAGATCATAATAACAACATCATTCAAATCATAATCACAAGACCCTTCACATCATAATAACAACATCCCTCGTATCATAAATCATAACTCTGACATTTCCACAGATCATGTGTTTAGTTAGTTTTAGTAGCCTATAAGTTTTACTGCACTTACAACACAATAAGGTCATTTCAGTGCTGAAAATTAGAGGTTGTTACAAGAGAGTAACAAACACAGAAAAGGATGAGGAGAGATGTCTTGTTTGATAGGAAAGAAGGAACAAACCACACCAGAACACCTGCCAACCACCCACAGATCAAGTGCAATTACATATAATATGTGTACATATACATGTAATTGCAATTCAAAATAACTTAAATAAAATATTAGTGAAGTTAACAATTAATATAAAAAAACAACAACTTTAGTACGACTTTTCTACAACTCAATAATTTCTTTTTAAATCACAGACAAAATAAACACACTAATAAAAAAAAAATGTAACAACATTAAAAGAAAGTCCACACAATGAAACCTAATAAAAATAAGTTTTCCGTTGTATAAATACATTTACCTCTTTGAGCTTTCAAAACTTCTTAATTTCCTTCTAAAAAACAGCTAGATCACAAATTATAAATGTGGAAGACTGAGAGATGATAAAATGTTTTAACATTCACTGCAGGTGTTATAAAAAAAACAATCCTTGTACATTCTGCAGAAGAATAAATACCTCTTTTATATCTCAACAACATTGCCTTGGTGAAGAACATTTTCTAGAGTTCCAAGAACATTGGGAAAAAAAAGGTCAAAACTGTTCAGTCACTGATTGTTGTATTGTGCACATATGTGTTTTACACTCCTCTCAACACAATTAAGGATAGGGCCAAGACAAGTAGGTACAAAGCCTCTAAAACTCCCAAAACAACCCAAGTTGAGGATTCAAACCAAAGTCACCCATCATGACCTCCTGGAGAGCTTTCCACTAAACAGAAATAAGTGTATACAGTGTACATTTTGTCATTTAAGATAATAAGAAGCATCTACACAGCTGTTGCATTCTTTCAGTATCAGTCGTAGTGATAGTTGGTTTTACGACACTAGTACGTGTACACAAATAGTTCATACAAGAGCTGACCATTTAAAGATATTGTTAAAGAGTAAAATACAAATAAAAGAAGAAGGAGAGACAAGGATGACAGATGTTTGATAGGAAAGAAGGTGCAAACCATACCAGACTACCCGTAACCACCTACTTACATTCTCTGGGCACACAGACCTCAGAGAGAAGTACAATGCCTCTTTAATGCCTCTTCTGACTTCCAACAACATCCTAAACTGTCATGGCCATAGCAGCTATGGGGGAAAATGGCATCTTGTGCACATTTGCAAATTTAATTAGCATACATACACATCGAGGGTGCTGTGGTGGAGCGGTTAGTGCGCTCATCTCCGAAGAGGAAAGTCCCAAGTTCAAGCTTCGGTTCGGATACGGATATTTTTCGACCCGTCCTGCCCACCCAGCAGTAATGGGTACCTGATTTCCAGTTGGGGAAGTAAAGGCGGCGTGGAGAGGAACTGGCCACCCTACCACAATATGCCGAAGGCCCAGGAAGTTGTCTCACTAACAAGGCAATCCCCAACGTCCAGATCGGATGCAAGAGCAACTTTACTTAAACACCGACACTTGTGAGCACAAACACAAACAAAACATATAACATATATATTATATATGGACACTCATATATCTGAACATGATATTAATACATGTATTGTATTAACATTATAGCTCACTTTAAAGTACGATAGTACTAGTAACAGTTCTCCCAAGACTGACTAGTCCCTGGGCATCCAGTCTCTCAAAAAGTTTGCGGGTAACCTCTGAATTTGAGGATAATTTATGTTAATCTCATACAGCCCAGTCTATTTTTAACAACCTCTGTTATTGCAGGAACTTGGATAAAACAGGGATAAATTGAACGCCCGTTTTTCTTTTTCTCTCTCTATAAGTGTAGGTAACATAAACCTGGCAAAAACAGGGTTCAATTTGCCGCGACTCGTACAACAAACATCTTGCAGCACATAAACTTGTTTTCAATCCGTAAAATTATTCAAATTTGCCTCAAGCAAGACATTTCGCCAGTTTGTATGACCGCTTGCCTAAACACAAACTTTCAAACACGTCATTACCCCCCTCCCCCTATAGCGTTGGGGTCACGGACCAATTCTGTCTCAGTGTCAACAAAATAGCCCACTGGAAAAGTATCTGCGGTAATCGAATATATAGGGCCTTTATAGTGAGCTGATGGTGCAATGGTACTGGTAGTTTCCCTTGATAACGGTTATAACAGGACTCGCTTATATATATCACAGGGAAAAACTGCCGGTCCCATCTGTCCTGATATCCCAGTTTGAAACAGTACAAAACAAAGGTCTTAGTCTTAGACAGTTCAGTGGACTACTTGAGAGGACTGCCAACACCAACATGAACTTCATTCCTCATCAACACAGCTGAGAAATGTGGAGTCTTGTCAGCTGGGCATAACTAGTATTACTACTGAATTTTCAAAAAACATCAATAAATTATTTCTGTTTGACATGATTCCAAATAGCAAGAAGCTGTCAAAGTATCAATAAGCAGCCCCTAGGAATAGCGGGTGTTACTTTTTTGTAATCACAAAAATGTACTCCCAACACAGTTCTCGGCTTACTAGCTAAGGAAGAGCGAACCTTAGCCCTAGATCTATACACATGATACAAGTCCTCAAGTATACAGCCTGGAATACACCCAGCAAACAGCCACATAGCTATACACGCACACTGTAAACAGATGTTCAGGTTTCAAATTTTTACTTACATCATGTATATGTGAGTCAGCGCAGTGGAATCAGGCTCTCGTCAAAATAATCAAAGTGAAGAAACTTGCATTTATCCGCAGGTTTGTGAATTTTTATCAAATTTTTGTTTTTTGGCTCAACACCTTTCATGCCCATTTAAAAACTCGTCTGTTTGGATTTGTCTGAAAAACGTTGATTAAAGGCACAAAAAATGTAAATTTTCAGTTACCATGTACTCTTAAGCTAAGGAATTAACTAATCTTTGGCGTCCATCTTCTCACAAATTTTACCTCTGAAAACAGATGACCCCCACCTCATTCATTCACAAATATCTCGATTTGTATTCAAGAGAAATTGGGGGGTTTTTTCATCCTAATAAAGACTAATAACTTTACATGCCCCAAAATTGACGAGAGCCTGATTCCATCACGCTGCCTCACATATATTCTTTGTATTTATCACATGCAAAGTGAAAGTCGTACACAACGGAAAAAATGTCCATGTGCCACACCCATTTTGCTCTATGTGCGCTAGACTTTCTTTATATGTGCAGAAAAACATGGCTGGTAACAATCAGAAACTGTGAGATCAAACACAATGCTGGCACTCGGTAAGAGCAGCATCAGTATAATATATATATATATATATATACCATTACACACAACTGTAGACAACATAAAGTAGAAGACATTTAGCAAAAACCGAACTCCACTACATGTACCAAGACACACCGTACACACAGACAAAATGAACAAGAAAACCGCAAAAGAGAGGACCACCTCTCAAAACTGATAAGGACTAAATGAAAATGCTTTACCCCAAAAACATTTTTAAGAAAAGAAAAGAAAGAAAAACCAGAATAATTCCCCCTGATCCTACTAAAACTTGAAATGTTTTATTAAAACACTTTTTAAGACAATTTGGGGGATTTGATTACAGAAACCAATTTGACATTATATTTAAAGACTTTTTCTATCTGGAAATGATTTTGAAAAGGATAAAACAAAAACAAATCATATGTCTTTAAAACAAAGATAGAACTGTTCCCTTCAAGGCATTCCTCTAATTCTGTCTCTCAGCAAAAGTTTAGCATCTCAAAGAAACAGTAAATGATGTTAATTTCAGTTTAAAAGATAAAATTAAAATCAATCTGCATCAAAACATATTTAAAAAAACAACAGGTCTATGTATCTTTAAAAAATTAATCTCAGAGATAAAAGTGAAAAAAGTAGGCTGCTTCCTTGTATTTTCTCATGATATCCAAACCATGTGGTTTATTTCATTCCAACACAGACAGAATTATAAATGAATCTGATGAAGCTAGACACAAACTTTATATTTTTTTAAAAACAAGTACAGTAGAGAAGCCAATAAAACTTTCCCTGTCTTGCGACACCTACAGCCTACCATAGAGCAATGTTAATTTCTTTAAAAAGAAAACTCCCATGTGTATGATCTATCACAAGATACCAGGAACAACGCGTTTCAACAAAACTTCAGCCAAACACAAACACTTCCATAAAATACAAAAGCGATTTTTTAAAATGGCAATTTTTTTTAAAAACATAAATAAATCACAAATGAAGCCTACAGTGAAAAATTCATTTCCTACTCATGACAAACCGATAACGGCACAGCAAACACAACATAAAAGATTATAGAGGCCTAAATAATAAATAAAATGACCACAACAGAAATAGAAGAAAATCTGTAACCAGTCGAGCTCAGATACCTCGAACACATCAGGGATTGGCAAAATATGTGTCATGTTCAACACGTCCACAATTTGAGTAAACAGTGATCATGAAAATGAAGGATAAAATAAGAGTGCGAGGGAAATCAAGGGAAGTAACTATGACAATAATATAATGGCTGGTTTCTATTGACCAGCAATTAAGTCTTCTCTCTCTCTGCCATCATGAAAAATATCCAGTATCGAAAAAAGGATGATAGGATATCATCAGAGCATGTGCCTTGTTCGGTGTCGGAGCAATAGAAAGGAAGAGAGTGATGCTGATGAGCCTTTCACTTTAAAAAAAAACAAAACTGCTCTATGTCAGATCATGATTATGAAGATATAACCAACACTGGTCAGAGAACGCCACCCATCCCTCTAGTGTAATCACTTTCCAATAGATGCCTTCCCGTTCAAACAATGACACACACATCCATGCATAAAAACATTATGATTGTGAACATAATTCACAAAACATATTACGGCTCAATGTAGCGCCACACCATCTGTCTTCAATCACACCCCACCAACCCATCCCCCACCCTCACACGACAAGATTCAAGGGAGTTCTAGCACATATTCCCACAAAAAACTAGAGAGGTAATGCACTGTTCGAAATATCTCGCATGTCTTTTTGAGAATACAGTGCTGCCCCTAAATATAGACCTAGCGGTTTCGTCATGGAATGAATAGCACATATTGTAACATATAGTTTGAGTTATCCATGAATTCGAGTTTGTATGTTCAAGATATCTGTGCTCTGCTGTAGACCTGAGGAGCAGTGAGTGAGAAGGTTAGAAGTTAAGGAGAAAAAAGCTCTGCATCTGTACTCAAGATGGGGAAAAGAAAAAATCCAAAGCAAAATCTTATCTCGAGAAGGAGAAAGCAAAACCCATAAAATGCACACACACAAAAAAAGGGGTCAAATATTCAAAAAATGAGACAAGCCACCGAATTACAGAGGCTGCAACTCCTCGGTGAAGTAATACATGGTAGAGGTCACCTGACTGCCCGGGATAAAGTTCTGCGGCAGGCTCTGTCCCTCCTGGTCAACAGCAGTTTCCTCCCCTGGTGGGGCGGCCACCGAGCCCATCAAGTCTTGCACTAAACAGCTGGCCGGGTGGCCCGTGACGGTGATGGTCGCAGTCGGAGCTACCGACAAACTGGCTTGACCGTCGAGCACAGCAATCTCCTGGGAGGACTTCATGTCCAGTTTTTCACTCTTCTGCATCTCTAGCACAGCTACTTCCGTAGCCGAGTCAGCTTTGTCGTGCGTGCTCTCGTGACGCTGTAGCGCGTGCTTGGTGTTAAACTGTCGAAAGCACACAGCGCACACATGAGTCCTTGGTTTGATGTGCAGTGTCAATATATGCTTTTTCTGCACGGGTTGGGTTTTGAATGCGGCTCCACAATACTGGCAGAGGTAAGGCCGCTCGGAGCTGTGCATGGACATGTGTTCCTTGAGGTGAGCTTGAGAACGGAACGCCTTGGAACATGTGCTGCACTTGAACGGCAATTGCCGGGCGGAACGTGCCAGATGCACGAGCTTATGCTGCTGGAGCGCGTCGGTTCTTTTGAAGGCTTTCCCGCAGGTATCACACAGGTGGGGGCGTAGCTCTGGCCCATGCACATCTCTCATGTGCCGCTGTAAGTGCATGCGATTCCGGAAAACTTTCTCGCATTCGTTACAGCTGTGAGAGCCTTCTTCCTGCTCATCCCTTCGGCCGTCAGTTTTCCTGTGCTTCTGCGTGTGTTTGGCCAGACCCTGCGGCGTGCTACACACAAACGGGCACTGGGAGCAGTGCAGCTGGACTACATTTGACGGGGAGCTGTGCTTCAGCCTGATGTGTCGTTGCAACAAGCCCGGTCGGTCTGTGGTGTAGGCAGCACACACCTTGCACTTGTAGAGAATCTTCTTGTGTTTCAGTTCGTGTCGCTTCAGCATGATGGGACTGATACTGACAAAGTCACACTGTTCACACGAGTATTTTTTCTCCATGCCATCCTTGTGGCACTGGATGTGGTTGAGAAAGTGGCTTTGTCGTTTACTTTTGAACGAGCATTGCGTACAAAAGAACTTAAAGGCCATGTGTTCCTCATAATTTCGGCGCTGTTTCGTCAAAGCCGATTCAGTCAAAGGGTTTCTCGGCCTCATTTTCTCTGTTGTGACAAAGTGATCGTACTTTTTGGGAGGCCGGCCTCTTCTCTTACTAGGTAACTCATTCCCATCCAATACAATCGTCTCTTGTAAGTCTGATGACGTGGTTTCCCCATCCATACTTTCATTTTTGTCATCGGTCAACACCTGTTGAGTGACTTCCATTTCTACAAGATTTGATTGAGGTCTTGGGTGCGTGTGCTTCTGACGTTTATCCATTATCTCTCGGTACTTCATTTGCTCTTCCTGCAGTCTCTTCTGTAGAGGGTCCATGTCTTCGCTGGTACTTTGTTTGCTTAAAAATTCCCTTTCAGGTTCAACTTTCAATTTGTCACTACTGACAACATTTTCAAGTGATTCACAGTGGTTTCCATTATCTTCATTTCCACACTGACTGTCATATGACACTGCATTTTCCAGTTCTGTATTTTTATCAGATAACCTTGAAAGTTTCACATTTTTGCTTGGCCGTCTTTGCTTCCTTCGACAGCGTCTCATTTTGGGTGGAAAATTTTTCCCATATTCTACGTCATTCTGATCTTGCAGGTCACTAGACACTAAAAAAGAGTCTGAGAACTGGATATACCCTGCACCTGAAAACTTATGAGATTGCTTCAGATGTCTTCCCCTTGAGGAGACATAAGGCACTAACAAATTACAGTTAACAGCTTTCTCGTTCTTGGGACACTTTTCTGAAGGCATCAACGCTTCAGGCGATTCTTCAAATGTTTGAAATCGAATTAAAGTTTTTGACCTGAGCCTGATCAAACTTTTTAAAGAATTGTACAATTCTATCAAGGCCTTGACATCTCCCTTAAATGACCAATTTTCATCACTGCAATTGAAAGAATTTGGGTTTTTCTTTGCCAGATCCAACAAAAACTGCTGGCACCCTGGAACATGCTCAAGAATGGCAGAATTCAGTTCTGCTGTAACATCACAAAAAATCTGAGTGTCATCTGAGAAGCCCAATTTCTCTAGCTTCCTCATCTCCTCAGTCCACGCTAGGTTATTTACTGTGGATTCTAAATGTTTCTTTTTACTTTCTTGAATGTGGTGCTGAAGGTGGGACTGTATCAGCCTGCGCTGTTCCTCCAACAATTTCTTCTGTTTCACCTCTTCACTTTCCCTGTTGGAGCTTTCTGATCCACTTGCCATGTCTGATTTATACGTTGTTGCCATTGGTCCACCTCTGACCTCATGTGACATAATTAGTCCCTTAGCCGTGTTGTTTCTCCTTCCATGAGATGCGTTCAACTTCTCATGATCTCGTTCACAGGCAGCATGAACAACAGCACTTCCATCAGAACCCATTTCTGCAAACTGTTCATTTTTTGCGCTTGTTGAGGCATAACTTTCATCCACATCCGTAACAAACATGTCAGCCGAGTCAAATGACTTCATTTCAGGCCCAGCTACAGGCAAGGTTAGATTGGCAGACCTGTTGTCAATACTTTCTGAAGCAGCTACAACTGTCTGATAAGGTAATTGTCCTGACAGAAACTTCGATTCAGTTCCTTGAGTAAGCAAGGAATTTGAATTTAACAAAATATTTTGGGGAACCAGCTGAGACCCAGAACCTCCAAGCACAACTGTGATCGATTGCGGCTGCTGCTGTTGTGGAATATTTGAAGAAAACGATTCTTTCGTCACCCCTTCCAGCAATGGCTGGGAGTTGGACATAACTGAAGTGCTTTCAGAAGCATCTTTATCTTCACCTGCAAGCACATTCCCCGTAATCAGTCTTGACAAAACGTGAGAGCCATCAGAATTTTCCACAACAACAAAGTAATCGGAGCTCAGGTTAGATGTTGAAGGCAATGAAGAACACCCCATAGCTTGTTCTATCACCACTGGTATGCCTCCCTGTGCAAGACTCGGATCCTCACAACTGACAACTGTGCCTTGTGGATGAACTACAGTAGCCGCCTCACTACTCAAGTTTGTTCTGAGCTGGAACTGATTCATCGGTAACCCTGCCCCGGATGTTTTCTTATTATCAAGCAGTGATGTTAGAGTAGTATTGTCAGTCGCTGCAGAATTCCCTGCTATTAGGGACTGAGTGGGTAATGTTTGCAAAACAAATAGAGCAGGGGAGGATGAGACTGCAACAACACATTCATTTTCTGTCAACTGGCTAACTTCCTGACCTGCATTATTTGAAGTATAAACAACTGTGGGGGGCTCATTGCTCATGCTTTCTACCGATGAGGAAAACACAATATTTGTGGGAGCTTCATTGACCTTTTCGCGACCACCAACATTCTCTGGGACAGTCACACCGGCCTCCCGTAGCACAGACGCGGGGCCTGAGGCTGGAGGATGGGGAGAATTGTCATTGTCGACCTCGTCCACTTCAAACTTGCAGTTGATTTTCTCGTCCACGTCCATGTCACTCTCTCTAACTCTAAAAGCGTCAGTCTCTAGAGAAGTCTGCCTGTCCTGTTTATTGATCTAAGCCTCTTCAAAACGAAGGCCAAATTAAAATGCTCAAAATTACCCACGTCGAGAGACACACAATTCAATTCCAAACGGTGCTTCCCAGGCAGCGAGCAGCTGTTGCAGAACTGCCCCAATGAACGAAGACTAGCAGTAGCAGTCGCTTCCCTACGACACACTCGGAACCAGCGAGTCACTCAGTGACAGAGGAAAACCGGAAGTAAATGAGATAAACAAATCGGGTATCGTAGGAAAAATAGTCGATACTATATATTTAGACAGACGAACAAAATTATCATCGATACGAACAATTGAAAACATTTCCATAGCGTACGATACTTAATCAAATCAAATAAATCTTAATTAATAGTGGACTTGTTACTTTTAACTCCTAGACCACATAAGAGTAATTTTATAGATGTCGCCACTAGAGCATATAAAAATAGTTCATTTGGAAATATGATGCGTCGATTACTAAAAAAGTAAATATTAAACCCACGCAATGCTCAATTTCCCCTTTATTGCATTTGAGAACTTAAAAATTATTTTTCTTTGTTTAATTCGTTCATTTTCGTTTCTCGATAAGTAAATCTATCAATTGTGCTTTGTGCAATCTTTCATAATGTTGTATAACTACGGGAACAACCTTAAATATTATTAAATAGTTTACACTTGAGAAAATATAAATTAAACGACCCGCGTCAATTTTCATTGAGAATTTTCCAAACAACGCAGTAAGAGCGTGGAAAAAAGTATGAAGAAATAATCTTCCTAGCAAACTTTATCAAAAGGAGCGGGAGAAGGATAACTAATCATCATCAATAATTATTATTTATTTATAGGGGCATGGAGAATTATCATTGAAATCAAAACTGACTCTCTGGGCAAAGAACACAGGTGTGTCTGTTGATGGAACGACATAGCTCTAATATTGATACGTACGCGCGCGCGCGCACACACACACACACATACACACACACACACACACACACACATAC